TGAGTGGGCCCTGCCCGCAGGCTAAGGCAGGGGTTCTTAGCCTTTCTGGTGTCAAGGAGCCCTTCTCAGTGTCTTAAATGCACAAAATACTTAGATTACAAAGGAAATCAAATATAGTGAAGCAGAGCAGCTAGGTGGCATCTTTGCCAAGAAAACCCCAAATGGGGTCACGGAGAGGCAGACACAAGTAGGATCACTGAACAACAAAAATAGTGAAACAAAGATAGAATTATTTATTCCTATCCAGATTCACAGACCCTCTAAAATTTATCTATAGATCCCTTGAGGGGGATCTGTGAACCCCAGGTTAAGAATCCCTGCTTTGGAGGGCCCTGGGCAGACTCACTCACTGGTGTGTGGTGATAGGAGTTATAGTTAAGGAACTTATAAGGTCTAAAAGAAAGAATGTCCATTCCCTCCATTTTAAAGAGATTTTATTCCTACAACCATAGGGCTTGAGGCATTTTTCAGCCCCAATGACAGTGGGATGGAGGCAGGAAAGAAACCTGAGACCACCACAAATTCTAGCAATGGCCCCTCACTTTTCCTGACCTGGACATCATGGGGTCCTGAGTTTTGTTGTTCCAGGGAGAAAACACTGATGGGGTCCAAGAAAATGGAAGAGTTGCAATCCTTCCAGGTGGTGAAACTAATAGGTTTCTGGTCAGTGACCTCTGGAATTTGTGGACATGCTTTCCTTCTCCTGATGCCTCCACCAGTAAAGGAAGCAGGATTTTGAATCACCTTTTGCAAACTGTCAATAAAGAGCAATTTCTAAAGAGGGATCTAAGGTAGGTGCTGAGGTAAGTGCTGGTGCTCCTGAGGAAGGGCCTGTGACTCAGTCCAGCTGAACATGGACCAAGCAGGGCTCCAGCTCCCTTTCCACCCCCAATTCCCCTCCATCACCTGACTCTGGCAGAGGCTCCAGCTCCTGGCAAGGCCTAGAGGAAGGGGTCCAGCCTGCCCTGTGCCCTGGCTGTCAAGGACAGAAGGCACTAGGCCCTGCCCCACATCTTCTGGCTCTGAGGGTAGAAGCTACATCTCCTATCAGTACTTGTAGGTGATGGTTGGCAAGGGGGTGACAAGTTGGACACAACTTTGGACAGTCAAGCAGGGATGCCTGGAGAAGGAGCTGTGGGTGGAACCTTGGTTCATAGGACTGTCTGGCAGCGGTGGCTGAAAAGATTGCTGATGACAGACTGGTCAGCCACACTGGATGTATCCCCCAGGTCATGGTCATTCTGTGCGATCTTCCTCAGTACCCACCTCATGATCTTCCCTGTGGTGTGTGACAGGACTGTGGTTACACCAGGCTCCTTCTCCTTGACTGCTCCCTTCCACAGCTCCCGCTGGGGGGCCCCGGCTGCCACTGGCATTGGTCAGCACCAGCCTACCCACAGGAACGAGGATGCATGCCTACCTGACCGTGTTTTGGGCAAGTTCGGTGCGTTCTGGATGTAATCCGGGGTGGCGATAGGGCTGATTTTTTCTCTAACTGTAATCAAGCAGCAAACCTTTACTGAGAATTTGTGCTAGGCACCAGTACTCAAAGAGGAGACTTTTAGAGGAAGAAGGTCCTGCTTTTGCTGGACCAAAGCCCACACTTTTTGTCCCCAGTGGGTGAGAGGGATGCTTACCCTGCTTCTTGAGCTCCTCAACGAGGGTAGGGGTGAAGCTGTGGCCCTCCCGGAGAGTGACAAAGCAGTAGAGACACTCGCCCTTTATGGGATGGGGGTGGCTGACTACAGCTGCCTCAGCAATGGCCTTGTGCTCTCCCAGTGCTGACTCGACTTCTACTGTGCTTAGCAGGTGACCTGGCAAGGATGGGCATTGTGAGAAGGCAGTCTTGCTCCAGGCCTCAGAGAAAAGCACCTCAGCTTCTCACACTGATCCTGTATTTGCCATCCACTCTACTGCACTTAACAAAGGCCACCATGATTTTCCAAGGCTGCTTAAATCTCAGAAGGCACCTGGTCCAACCTCCTTCCCAGACCTGACATCCCCAATGAGTGGTCATCCTGTCTCAGCTGGGACACCAGTGGCAGCAGGTTGCTCATTTGCTCCTAAGGCAGCCCACTCCACTTCTGAGTAGTTCCCAGTGTTAGAAGTTTTCCCTGGGCTTAGCCAAAATCTGCCTCCCTTTAACCTCTACCCTTGTACTAGTTCTGCCCAGTAAGTCTAAGCCAAGCAGGTCTAATCTCAGCGCTACAGATATCTGAAGACAGCTATCTGCCCAAAGTTTGCTCTTCTCCAAGCTAAGTATCCCCAGTTTCTTTTCTCAGTCATGATTTCTTTCCTTATCCTTGTTATTTTCTTGTGGATATTCCATCTTGTCAATATCCCTCCTAAAATGTGGTCCCAGACTTGAGGCTAGGTTTGGACGTAAGGTGTGAAAAAGGATTGATCAAATGAGACAAGTCAGCATCCCTCACCGGACACATTGAGCATGTCATCTATCCGGCCTGTGATCCAGTAATAGCCATCTTCATCCCGCCGACAACCTTAGGAAGCACGTGGAAGCACACAGGATCACACCCCTTTCTTGGAACAGAAGCCCTCCCCAGGCAGGGCCTCAGACTCAGGGAAGAAAGTGGAAGATGGTCCTGCAGCTAAGCAGCTCAAGAGAAGTATACTACCGACCCAGGGGATAGAGCCCTGCCTTTTCTGGGTGATTTGACCACAAGACGTCAGAGGCTGGGAAAATAGGAGAGCTCACCATCCCCTGTTACATAATAGCCTGGGAACTTCCGGAAATAGGTGGCCTCAAAGCGCTCATGGTTCCCATACATGGTACGCGTGATTGCAGGCCAGGGCTGCTTGAACACCTAAAGGGCAGGGAAGGAATATCTGGCATGCCTGTTCAGTGTCATACTCGCCCAACTTACCCATTATATTATAAGATGCTACCTGTGTGACCTGTCTCATGAGTCACATATAATCTATCACCCTTCCATGCTACACTGTCACATGTCATCCAAAAGAACCATGTCACCTGTCATACATCACGAATATCACCCAAGTCCCATTTCCTATGTACTACCTATGTACTATTTCCTATGTACTTCCTATGTACTATGTCTGTCCAACACACTACCCCATCACCCCAGGCCTCAGATGCAGCCTTACCAGGTAACCTTCTGCTTCTCCTTCCAGCTCCTCTCCAGACTCATTCAAGATTGCTGGCACCACGCCAAAGAATGGCAAAGTCTGGGGGTGCAGGGAGACCCAGTGTAGGCAAAGGGTAGACACTGATAAGGGGATCCTCAGTTTCCCACTGAAGCCCAAATCCCAGGGCCCACAGAGTTCATGGAGGCAACCACTCCTTAACCTCTCATTTCACCCTTAGTCATTATCTTCTGGGGGGGTGGGGGAGGGGGAGGAGGAGGTGTAGTGGGAAGGCAGGCCTTACTCACTGCAGAGCCTGGCTTCGTAGGTGTGGCACCAGGGAGAGGGGTCAACATCTGGCCACCCTGTTGGAGGTCAGAGGTCAATCCTGACATCAAGTCCCAGCCCCCCCCCCCCAACTTCCCAAGCATCTCTGTACTTACTGTCTCCGTCTGCCAGAAGGTATCCACAACAGGGCACCGCTGGGCTCCCACCACACGGTAGTACCATAGCCAGGCCTCTGGATTGATGGGTTCACCCACTGTCCCTAATAACCTCAGGGATGCCCGACTACATCTGTGAGGATAAGACCAAGGATGTGGGCACCGGGACACTAACCAGTTCCCTTGTTGCCCAATGGGAAGAGCCCTGGATTGAGAGTCAGGAGATGTGGGCCCCAGCTGGTGGCTGTGTTATGACTTGATTGTCTCCCCTTCTATAACACAAGGATGGTCTTCTGGCCTTGATGGTCTTCAAAGCCTCCAACTTTGCACCTCTGTGACGGAGCCGGGGCAGGGGCTTATTTCCCTCCCCTTTCACAGCAAAGTGACTAGCCTCAATGTCTCCATCTCTACAATGAGGGAAATTGATTCCACTGCCTCAGGGTCACTGCATGGGTGCCAAGGAGGAAGGCAAAGGTGACACGAGGGACTGGGCCTTACTTGGTGACAGGCTCATCCCCAAACTTCATGAGCAGGCGGATAATTGTGGGTGCTATGTAGACCGTAGTCACCTTGTACTTGTCCACAGTGTTCCACAAGCGGCTCACATCAGGGTACGTGGGGATCCCCTCAAACTGCACACAACCAAGATGTTACCCCATGTTCCCTCAACCATCCCCAGGGCCTACCCACTGGAACACCTTACCCCACCAGAGCCTCTGCCCCTCTCCCTGTCCAAAACCATCCAGGCCCATCTCCCCAGAATCCTTGGGACCTGACCTTTGTCCCAAGCTGGACAGCCCACCCTGTCTCACCAGGACGCTTGTAGCCCCATTAGCCAAAGGCCCATAGGTGACACAGGAGTGCCCAGTGATCCAGCCGATGTCTGCTGTGCACCAAAACACATCATCCTCACGGAAGTCAAAGACATACTTGAAAGTAGTAGCTGTGTAGAGCATATATCCCCCTACTGTGTGTACCACTCCCTATGGCAGGAGTGGGAAGCAAAGAGTTAGGGCACATCCTAGTCCATTCCTACTGACATGCCCACCCAACCCTCACCCTGCCAAGCACTGACCTTGGGCTTGCCAGTGGAGCCACTGGTGTAGAGGATGAAGAGTGGGTCCTCTGCATCACACCACTCCGGCTCACACTCCTCTCCTGCATCCCCCAGGATCTCATGCCACCACAGGTCAACCCCCTCATTCCAGGGGATCTGGAGGGACAGGAGGAGGGGGGGGAGGGC